CCCCCCCCCCCCCCCCCCCACACACACACACAAACAATGTGGGAGTCTCCCAAGAGAAAAAAGCAAGGGCTGCCACTTCTGGTGTCTCCCTACCCAACAAAGGACAGCGGAAACCCAAACATAAGGAAGAGAACGAACCCGAGGAAGGCATAGCAGAGACCACATAATGCAACCACAAGGTAATTGAGAAGAAATGTATCAAAGTGAGCATAGGCACCGATCAACAATTTTGAAGATTCATTTATAGCACAATCATACACTATAAAAGTCCAGGGAGTTTTTGTTTAGTGAAGTTACCACGACAGTTAAATATTATACAAGTTTTCTTCCAAATTCCTATCTGTGAGTATAATTCATTATCTTTAAGACTCATTCATAACATAATAAACCAATAATAGAAAGTCTCATTACCGAACATGTAAAAGAAACGGGAGAACACATTAAAAAATTATCACTCAACTTCAAAACAATCAGTTAAAACCTCACCTGTGAAAGCAAAGAGCATATGGAGGACGCCATTACTCGCATCACGTTGAGAGCAGAGCCGATTGCACCTTTCAATGATTCAACATCTGCCTGCAAAAGAACAAATCTATACTCTATGAGACTGAAACTAATTCAATAATTGAATATTTCAAATTTGAAAAACTTTTTACAACCTAACATACCGTTGCCCCTGCAGTTAATGGAACTCGGAGAGTGTTTGCTTTAAGATCTAACAATACACCTGACAATGAATTGATATGGTCTCTCTCAAGTGAATCCCATTCATCAAGGTAGGACATCTGGATTTTCATGATTATAATAGTTTACATTATATTTTGACAAAAGTAAAAGTAAAAAAATTAAAAATGAGAACTAAATGTCCTCCAACAAGATAACAAAAAAAAAAAGAAGTCTTTAAAACATTGACCCAAGTAAAAGCAACGAAATAAATCATATCCTAAATTTCTTGTTTCTCTTTACTTTCCTCTTGTAATTAGCTCTCGACACAAAGCAAAATCTTCATCCCCTTAGATAAAATTAAAGACAGGTCTAAAACATTCATGTTATTCAGTGTTATAGATTGACAATGTTCTAAAAAAATTGGGCGTTCACTCAAAAGCTTCACGTATCCTTCTCAGATCAGAAGAGAAAACAATATCAGTTAAATTTGTCTTCAAAGCCAACAACTAGCTCGACAATTTGGAGATATATTATCAATGTAAGAATGGTAAGATAAAATAATTTAGCTATTCTGCATAGTATAGCAAACAATAGCTAAATGCCAAACTAAGAGAATGACCCCAAAATAAGCTATTTCATAAAAAAGTTAGATATATAGAGGGTGGATTGCCCTATCTTTTGACAGCTTTATTGAACTTGTTCTTTTTGCAGTTTTATCCTGGTGTAAATGACATATCCATTAATTTTTACAGCCCCACTCATCTTGTTATCGGATGGAGAAGTTTTGTAATCAACCCTTGGTGGTTTGAAGGCCCTTCCTACCGTTAATATAAATCATGGTATATGAAATTCCGCTGCAGTGTCGATCTACATGTACAGTTCAAGAGAGAACGAACAAATTTTATGCTGAACAGTGAGAATTTTCTAGACAAATCAAAAATCAAAAGGTCACTTTTTCTATCATAGCGTATAAGTTAAAGAAAGGACTTACTTGATCGTTCATGATTTCATTCAGCTTAAGTTCTAGCTTCAGCATATGGAGATCAATTCTATTTCTGGTTACTGAATCCCAAATACGTATCATAGCCTTCCAGACATTACATAGCGTTCTCTGGGCAACCAGAAAAAGGCCAAAATGTTAACTAGTCATCCACGGGGAAGTTGTTACACCATTGACAACTACGAATGAGACACAAAGCACCAATTCGCAGGGAGAACCACAATAAATATCATGAAATAAACAAACACATACAGGATATTTCAATTTCAAAACTAACTTGATAGCAACTGTTTCTTTTTTCTCATACAGATTTTCTATCTATAACCAACTGGAGAAAAAAGAATTTTCTAATACAAAGAAAATATTACTCGGAGTTGAATCACAAGTAATTTAAGTTACTGACACATGTTAAAAGGTATTTACTTCTCCCTATTGAACAGTGGAATGATAGTGCATCAATTTTAGAGTCGTCCAACTGTCAGGATGATTAGGCATCATCCAAAAATGGTTAAAGGGAATTAATCTTAAATATAGGATATAATACATAATATATGAGCTAAATAATAAGAAAGTTTAGCTAAGGGATACAAAATATTATAAGTACCGCAACCTCTAACTCTAAAAGACACAATGTTCTTTTATTACATCAAAAGATGAAGGAGAACCATGTACTTGGTTACAAATATAGCTATATGAGCAAAAGAAAACGTCCCTGGGCGCTGGTGAAAAGTTTATGTAACTTAATAGTTTTAGAACCATACGACCGTCACATTATGATGATAACAACCGTAAGCAAAAAAGGAACTTCAATCAGATAGATAATAAAGAAAAAGTTACTGAATTCTACAAATGTAAGATGCACACCTCTGCATCAACTTTATGCATGTCATGTATAGCTTCTGCTCGTGCATTGGAAAATCTCCATTGCATATATCTATTATATAATAGCCGCAGCTGGTGAGAATCTTCGATATGATTAGCGCCCTTTTTACCCTTAAAATCTGCAATGAAACTGAGCACCGAAGTTGAACTATTGGATTGAATGGAATTAGTTGGTCTGATTCGAGATGGACTGACACCCCTAGGAGGAGGAGTTGATGGCCTTGGCCGGGCTGGACTTGATCCTCTAGAAACAGAGGATGATGGCACTGACGTTCTAATGGGCGAAGGTAGACGCAATCCAGGTAATGTCAAAGACTGAGATCTGACAGCTGGTGTTGATTTTAACCTATCTGGTAAGCCGTTAGAAGCAAGCCTAGGAGTTCCTGGTGCCTGCAGTGAACAATCGTCAACTATATTTGTTTCATCTTCCATTCTAAGAGCATCATGAATTGGAATAATCTTGGAAGAATCATTATCAGAGATCAAGAGTTTATTTATAGAATCAGATAAACTTCTCAACGAAGGTAATCCAATTCCTGGGTGTGGTCTCGGAGAGCTCCGAATTATTTTATCGGTAAGATCCACACTTTGACTTAATGCATTTAATGATATCTTCCTACCAATTCCTGATGCCTGCAATGAACAATCATCAACTGAATTTGTTTCATCTTCCATTCTAAGATCATCATCAAGTGGAAGAATCTTGGAAGAATCATTATCAGATCTCTGCAAGAGTTTGTTTATAGAATCAGATGAAGTTCTTTTCAAGGAAGGTAATCCAATTTCCAGAGGTGGTCCAAGAGAGCTCTGAATTATTTTATCAGTAAGATCCACACTTCGACTTAATGCATTTAATGATATCTTCCTACCAATTCCTGATGCCTGCAATGAACAATCGTCAACTGAATTTGTTTCATCTTCCATTCTAAGACCATCATCAAGTGGAAGAATCCTGGAAGAATCATTATCAGATCTCTGCAAGAGTTTGTTTATTGAATCAGATGAAGTTCTTCTCGATGAAGGTAACCCAATACCTGGAACTGGTCCAAGAGAGCTCCGAATTATTTTATCGGTATGATCCATGCTTCGACTTGATGCATTTAATGATATCTTCCTACCAATTCCAGATGCCTGCAATGAACAATCGTCAACTGAATTTGTTCCATCTTCCATTCTAAGACCATCATCAAGTGGAAGAATCTGGGAAGAATCATTATCAGATCTCTGCAAGAGTTTGTTTATTGGATTAGATGAAGTTCTTCTCGATGAAGGTAACCTAATTCTTGGAAGTGGTTCAGGAAGGCTCTGAATTATTTTATCGGTATGATCCATGCTTTGACTTAATGCATTTAATGATATCTTCCTACCAATTCCTAATGCCTGCAATGAACAATCGTCAACTGAATTTGTTCCATCTTCCATTCTAAGACCATCATCAAGTGGAAGAATCCTGGAAGAATCATTATTAGATCTCGGCAAGAGTTTGTTTATAGAATCAGATGAAGTTCTTCTCAAGCGAAGTGGTCCAGGAGAGCTCCGAATTATTTTATCAGTATGATCCACACTTCGACTTAATGCATTTAATGATATCTTCCTACCAATTCCTGATGCCTGCAATGAACAATCGTCAACTGAATTTGTTCCATCTTCCATTCTAAGACCATCATCAAGTGGAAGAATCCTGGAAGAATCATTATTAGATCTCGGCAAGAGTTTGTTTATAGAATCAGATGAAGTTCTTCTCAAGCGAAGTGGTCCAGGAGAGCTCCGAATTATTTTATCAGTATGATCCACACTTCGACTTAATGCATTTAATGATATCTTCCTACCAATTCCTGATGCCTGCAATGAACAATCGTCAACTGAATTTGTTCCATCTTCCATTCTAAGACCATCATCAAGTGGAAGAATCCTGGAAGAATCATTATTAGATCTCGGCAAGAGTTTGTTTTCTAAGACCATCATCAAGTGGAAGAATCCTGGAAGAATCATTATTAGATCTCGGCAAGAGTTTGTTGATAGAATCAGATGAAGTTCTTCTCAATGAAGGTAACCCAATTCCTGGAAGTGGTCCAAGGGAGCTCCGAATTATTTTATCACTATGATCCACACTTCGACTTAATGTATTTAATGATATCTTCTTACCAATTCCTGATTCATGAAATGAACCATCGTCAACTGAATTTGTTCCATCTTCCATTCTAAGACCATCCTCAAGTGGAAGAATCTTGGAAGAATCATTATTAGATCTCGGCAAGAGTTTGTTTATAGAGTCAGATGAAGTTCTTCTCAATGAAGGTGACCCAATTCCTGGAAGTGGTCCAGGAGAGTTCCGAATTATTTTATCAGTATGATCCACACATCGACTTAATGCATTTAATGATATCTTCTTACCAATTCTTGATGTCTGCAATGAACAATCGCCGACTGAATTTGTTCCATCTTCCATTCTAATACCATCATCAAGTGGAAGAATCCTGGAAGAATCATTATTAGATCTCGGCAAGAGTTTGTTTATAGAATCAGATGAAGTTCTTCTCAATGGAAGTGGTCCAGGAGAGCTCCGAATTATTTTATCTGTATGATCCACGCTTCGACTTAATGCATTTAATGATATCTTCCTACCAATTCCTGATGTCCGCAATGAACCATTGTCAACTGAATTTGTTCCCTCTTCCATTCTAAGACCATCATCAAGTGGAAGAATCCCGGAAGAATCATTATTAGATCTCGGCAAGAGTTTGTTTATAGAATCAGATGAAGTTCTTCTCAATGGAAGTGGTCCAGGAGAGCTCCGAATTATTTTATCTGTATGATCCACGCTTCGACTTAATGCATTTAATGATATCTTCCTACCAATTCCTGATGTCCGCAATGAACCATTGTCAACTGAATTTGTTCCCTCTTCCATTCTAAGACCATCATCAAGTGGAAGAATCCCGGAAGAATCATTATTAGATCTCGGCAAGAGTTTGTTTATAGAATCAGATGAAGTTCTTCTCAATGAAGGTAACCCAATTCCTGAAAGTGGTCTAGGAGAGCTCCGAATTATTTTATCAGTATGATCCCCACTTCGACTTAATGCATTTAATGATATCTTCCTACCAATTCCTGGTGCCTGCAATGAACAATCGTCAACGGAATTTGTTCCATCTTCCATTCTAAGACCATCATCAAGAGGAAGAATCTTGGAAGAATCATTATTAGATCTTGGCAAGAGTTTGTTTATAGAATCAGATGAAGTTCTTCTCAATGAAGGTAACCCAATTCCAGGAAGTGGTCCAGGAGAGCTCCGAATTATTTTATCGGTAAGATCCCCACTTCGACTCAATGCATTTAATGATATCTTCCTACCAATTCTACTCGCCCGCCTCTGATCTATAAGCCGGGTATGCAAGCCATCAATTGGCTTAGAATTCTCCAGCTGGTCAGGCACATTCTTTCCTTTAAGAGGACTCCTCTTTCGCTCTGGTGTAGGTTTCCTTGAAACCATTGGCGTTTCAACCAGTTTGTGAGCGAAATTTGACGACGGCCTCAACGTCCGATCAGAAGGAGATGCAGGGACTGGTTTTTCCTTCTTACTAACAGGAATAGAAATTATGTCAGACTGGAAAGAGACATTCAAACTCCGCATGGTCGAAGGCCATAAACTTTCCGATCGACCGCCTGCTGTTCTCCTTGAAGACAATCTCAAATCAGAAGATAAGTCATGGTCCGAAGTTGATGGACTCGTCGGGGAAGTTGGCGTGGAAGGCCGTTTCCTCTCAGCCGACAGGGCTCTTTTCTGCTCCAATTGGGAGGAAGCAGACAAAGTTCTGGAGGCGTTCGGCGACTGACAGCGCCGAGGTGAGGAAGGGGCTGAGGGAATAGGTGACTTGTATCTAGAACTAACTTCCCTCGTCCGAGAGCGACGAGTGGCGAGTACATTGCTTCTCTCAGCCAGACCCAGTGGAAGCCTTGGGGTTTCCCCTGTTGAATGATTCCTTATTGAATCTGATTCAAATATATCCATCCACACAATCAAAATCAGACCACATCGATGAAAATCTTCATATCAGAACACATCCGGCGATCATGGATTTCTTCACTCATCCCGCAATCAACTGAATAATACCAACTGCAAAAAGGGGAGAAAGTTCTCTGCATCATTTCTGTCACTGCTGCACAACCAAAAGTGAAAACGGTACAGATTGCTAGAGATTATGAAAAGTAAACCCCACAAACAAAAAGAAAAGGAAAGAAAAGCATACATCTTTACACACCCCAGATCTAGCTGAATAAAAATCTGGTAATAACAGCAAAATAACGCAAATGGGTGCTTTCCCTTCAAGAAAACCCCAAACCGAACGAGATCAAGCAATAACAAGGAGGTCAGGAACGCGTTACAGAACATTTGATATAATACAATGGGTAGCGGAAAACAGCGAAAACTGCCACAACACGAATAAGCAGTTACAGTGGGAGGTTGATTTTGGTCGTAAACCACACTTAGCGGTTATGGGGTAGAGGTCCCCTTGGGACTTGAGGGAGACCAGGGCAAGTGGGTTTTAGTCTCTTAAGTGGTGGAATTGTAGGATACGTCCTAAGAGGGAGTGCACTGTAAATGACTTTTAAAATACATTTCGGGCCATGAGTTTTTTCACGGGAAGGCCAAGGTCAGATGGGATGGAAATAGGTTTCACACTTAACCTACTGCCTACTCATCTTCTTTCTCTGTACTCTTTTTCACCAAGAAATGACAGCAGCTTCAAAACTGGCAAAACATAGAAAATCTCTCTCTCTCTCTCTCTCTCTCTCTCTCCCTCTCTCTTCGGCCTTGATGTACGATTGGGTAAAAAGAAGGTTCTATCTAACAACTTCACCTTCATAAATGATCAAAGTTTTAACAAAACTTAAAACTGTTTTTTTCCTTTTGTAATCATGGATTTGTAGATGGTAATTTCAATATACACTTGATTCTGATCTTGAAAAAAAGTTAGGAAAAGCAAATCTTAAGAAAATAGGTTCAAAAATCACTCAAACACAAAAAAACTTCTCTGATTCTTACTCCTAACCTATCTATTTGTTCTTATGTCCAAGTTTACAGACTGTTCAGCAGATAAAATTAAACGACACAATTTGTTTGTGTGCACGAAGTAAAACTTGGTGTTACTATTATAATGGCAGAACTTCGAGGTACAAAAAATTGTCATCCCCATGAGTTCTACAAAAATTTTCAAACAAAATCCGAGAAAGATAAAAACTAAGCAGAAAAATTAGTTACGTAGGATTTAATTGAAGAGTTCTAAAGAGAAAAATCTTCAGAATTCGATTTAGAATCGTGAACTACAACAAAAGAAGAGCGAAATTGGAAACTGTTTACGGGAAAATTTCTCGAAAGAAATTCTCAGAGATAAATCAGAGGTGGGGGATGTCTGTAATTTGAAGGTAACAGATTGTGTTTGATGGAGTAGAGAAAGTCTGGTTTCCTACTGTTCATGACAATCTCTCTGCAGGAAAAGTTAAAAGGAATCTCAGAGATAACCTAAAGGGAGAGATAGAGTTCGTCCGACTCCAAAAACATTCAGAATCTCTTTACTAAAAAACAACGTAATCGACAGTAAGTACCATTAACCAACCGTCTTCAATTAAAACTTTCGCTGTCTTTTTCCTCATTCGGTGATCCACAGAAAGAGGACGAACCAGATGAGCGAACTTCCTCTTTCGATTACAAAATGGATCAAAGAAAGAAAGAAAGGGGAAAAAAAAGCCTCAATTGCGACAAAAAATTGCAATCTCTTAAACCAAAAGCATTTCCAGAATTCCTAAAATTTCAACAACCAAATTATCAATCGATTTACTCAAGAATCTCGAAGCAAAACACAAAAACAACCAGAAATCAAACTCTAGAAAGCGAGTGAGAGATTTCTCACCTACGAACTGAAGCTCCAAACTCCTCTTCCAGTGAAAACAAATCAACCATGAACATGACAACGAAAATCCAAATCACCTCGATCTCTTGAGGAATTCAATCAACCACAACAGGTAAGACGAATCGTCGAAGAGGCAGAGATTGACAGCAAAATCGTCGCCAGCCGTCAGATCGTTGGAAAATTTCAAATTCGTTAGTGGTCGACGGAGAGTGAAAGTAAATCAACGAAATTAATAATAATTAAAAAGAATTTGAAGAAATTTATTGGGAAGAAATGAATTAAGAAACGAAAAATTTAATAATTATCATTAATTATCAAGAGGGAAAAAACGGTTTCAGTTGGAAATTTCGCGGTGGGGACCCGCCGGTGGTCGTTGCTTTGGCGCCACCACCTTTATCAGCTTCGAATTTTTATCATTTTTCTAATTAATAAAAATACTTTTAAAAAAATATTCATTTAAATATTTCAATTATATCCAAACACCTAAAAATAATTTTTTAATACGTCAATAAAATTTTTAAAATAAAAATTTATTAATACTTTTCAAATTTTTTAAATAAATAAAAAATATTGTGCTATATTTTAAAAAATATATCCATAAAATTTTTAAAATAATATTAACAATAATTTTTTTAATTAAAATTTGAAATGACTTTTTAATGTAATAAATAATAAAATTTTTAATAGTAATTGATTTTAGTTCTTCAATTCATAAGTTAAAATTTTCATTATTTATCGAACTATAAAAAAAAATAAAAAAAATCTCAACAACCACCAATTTCCACTTAACACTAACAAAAATTCGTGTTGACGGAGCATAGTTAAACCAATTAAGACATATATATTCTCGACCCAGACATGAAAAAATCGTGTTGATCGAGCATAACTCAACTAATTAAGACATATATATTTCCGACCCAAACATCAAAGTTCATGTTGATCGAGCATAGCTCAACTAATTAAGACATATATATTTCCGACCCAGACATGAAAAATTCATGTTGATCGTGTTGATCAAACATAGTTCAACTGATTAAGACATATGTATTCTTGACCCAGATATCAAAATTCATGTTGATCGAGCATATCTCAACTAACTAAGACATATATTTCTGACCCAGACATGAAAAATTCGTGTTGATCGTGTTGATCGAACATAGTTCAACTGATTAAGACATATATATATTCTCGACCCAGATATCAAAGTTCATGTTGATCGAGAATATCTCAACTAATTAAGACATATATATTTCCGACCCAGACATGAAAAATTTGTGTTGATCGTGTTGATCGAGCATAGTTCAATTGATTAAGACATATATATTCTCGACCCAGATATCAAAGTTCATGTTGATCGAGCATACCTCAACTAATTAAGACATATATATTTCCGACCCAGACATGAAAAATTTGTGTTGATCGTGTTGATCGAGCATAGTTCAATTGATTAAGACATATATATTCTCGACCCAGATATCAAAGTTCATGTTGATCGAGCATACCTCAACTAATTAAGACATATATTTTCGACCCAGACATGAAAAATTTGTGTTGATCGTGTTGATCGAGCATAGTTCAACTGATTAAGACATATATATTCTCGACCCAGATATCAAAGTTCATGTTGATCGAGCATACCTCAACTAATTAAGACATATATTTCCGACCCAGACATGAAAAATTCGTGTTGATCGTGTTGATCGAGCATAGTTAAGACATACATATTCTCGACCCAGATATCAAAGTTCATGTTCATCGAGCATACCTCAACTAATTAAGACATGTATTTCCGACCCAGACATGAAAAATTCGTGTTGATCGTGTTGATCGAGCATAGTTAAGACATACATATTCTCGACCCAGATATCAAAGTTCATGTTCATCGAGCATACCTCAACTAATTAAGACATATATTTCCGACCCAGACATGAAAAATTCGTGTTGATCGTGTTGATCGAGCATAGTTAAGACATACATATTCTCGACCCAGATATCAAAGTTCATGTTCATCGAGCATACCTCAACTAATTAAGACATATATTTCCGACCCAGACATGAAAAATTCGTGTTGATCGTGTTGATCGAGCATAGTTAAGACATACATATTCTCGACCCAGATATCAAAGTTCATGTTCATCGAGCATACCTCAACTAATTAAGACATGTATTTTCGACCCAGACATGAAAAATTCGTGTTGATCGAGCATAGTTAAGACATATATATTCTCGACCCAGATATCAAAGTTCATGTTGATCAAGCATACCTCAACTAATTAAGACATATATTTCCGATCCAGACATGAAAAATTCATGTTGATCGTGTTGATCGAGCATAGTTCAACTGATTAAGATATATATATTCTCGACCCAAATACCAAAGTTCATGTTGATCGAGTATACCTCAACTAATTAAGACATATATTCCCGACCCAGACATGAAAAATTCATGTTGATCAAGCATAGTTCAAACTGATTAAGACATATATATTCTCAACCCAGACATGAAAAAATTCATATTGATCGAACATAATTCAATTAATTAAGACATATATATTCTCGACCCAGACAAGAAAAAATTCAAATTGATCGAGCATAGTTCAACTGATTAAGACATATATATTCTCGACCCAGATATCAAAATTCATGTTGATCGAACATACCTCAATTGATTAAGACATATATTCCCGACCCAGACATGACAAATTCGTGCTGATCGAGCATAGTTCAACTGATTAAAACATATATATTCTCGACCCAAACATGAAAAAATTCGTATTGATCAAGCATAGCTCAACTAATTAAGACATATATATTCTCGATCCAGACACGAAACAGTTCGGGAAGATCGAGCATAGTTCAACTGATTAAGACACTGACCCAGACATGAATTCGAATTTCTCCGATTTCACCCGTTGTTCGATATACGACCAAAAAAAACATCTCACACTCTTACCTTCTAGAAAAAGGCAATAGATTTAGGAATCCATTTTAGGTGCAATGCATTTGAAGCTCACATGCCTTTATGGACAAATCTTTAAAAATAGGGCTTATTAGGGTTTCCACATGCCCATGACTTAGACATTACCTACGTAATGGAACTTTCTTCTCACATTGTGGGTCCTTCATGATCTTTTATGGGTACCCAATTATTTTGTTTTCCTTTTTTGGTTATTATTATTATTTTTTTAATGATTAGCTAACGTGCTTACATAATTCATGTTATCGTTACCGGAAATATTAATTAAAAAAATAGCGGAGAATATAAATTTTAGATTTAAGCACTTTTAATCACCTAAAACACGTAATAAATTAAAATTTGAGAGCTAGTCATGAGTTGATGCTTTTTAGATGTTTTTTTTAGTAATGCTCCTAATGAAATATGTTTAATGTCCCTTTATGATTTTTTCACGAACCCAATGAAGAAAAAGTGAGGATTGAGAGTCCATTGGCCGCTATAGGGACTAGGATCGACGTCTTTCATGACCTGACATTGACATTTCTCCTTTATTAGTGCTAGAAGGGTGTTAGTTAGATAGCATTTTCATCATCCATGTTGCAGGGTTCGTTTTTTTTTACGACGAAACAGTGGAATTGGTTTAGGGTTTAGGCCGTTCTCTTTGACTCGTTTGTAGTTGAGGCACGTTTTTCATTTTTATCATCCACGTTATAGGCTCGTTTAATTGCACTAACAACACGTTAATTGCAATTCTAAATTATAGATTCATGTCCAAACATATTTGCACGTAATTGTTTCCAGTTCAAGTTGCGATTATACCGTCTTAATGCCCTACAACTGATATATGACATGTCTAAGAGAGCTGACTCGACCATAATGTTATAGTCATATGAAATATATCCGTAAATTTAAAATATATATATATATATATATTCCTTAAATTTTCTCATAAATCAATTATTATTTGTTTTGTCCAAAGACAAATAATTAAAAAATAACGTGTATTGGTTTTATTAGAGAAGTCCAAATCTCTAATAAAAAACACTTGTTTTATTTTGTTATCTATTGTCGGTGATTTAAAAAAATTAAACCCAATTTTAAAAATAAAAAAAATAATAAATGTACTTTTTAAAAATTTTATTTTATTTTAGAATTTAGTTAAGAATTCAAATATCTTAAAATATATATATACAAAAATCATGATAAATAAGAACTAAAAGCAAAAAATAAGGCAACTTATTTGAATGGGTTATCCCTAGTAATATTGTCGTACCCTTATTATAATTAGATACGTGGATATTTAAGCAATTAACAAGTTTTCGTTCATTAATTGTAGATCCATTGTAACAACTTAAGCTCACTGCTAGCAGATATTGACCACTTTGACTCGATACGTATCGTAATAATCCTCACGATTTTAAAACACGTCTACTATGGATAGAATCTAGCTCTACTCTGACTAGTGTCCCGCACCGTTCTGTGAGGAGCTCTAATACCATTGTATAACATCTCAAGCCCAAAATAGACATCATTTACTTGTGGTGGGCTTGAGTTTGAGCTGTTACATCAATCCACTCGTAGAGGTACACTTTTATGTACGATAAAATAAGTTGTGTCCATAGATATAATAATTATTAAACAAATCAATAATACACGAGTTAGTTGTAATTACAACAGAGTCAAAAGGTCTATTTTACCCTTGATTTATTCTTTCTCACTCAATCAAT